GTGGACAAAGACAGTCAGGATGAGGTTGATCAGGGTGACCTATTATCCACCAAAAGATAAGCAAAAGATGAAACAAATGGTTCAGTATATTTTGAAGTACAAAAAGTTACCTGCTGTTCTGCCAAAACATTTGCAGCTTCCTACAGCAGAAAAAGAATACCCAAGACACCTCATTCCAGAAGAGATGATGTGCCAACACTGCCCAGGCAGTGTGCCCCTGAGTGACCCAGTCCTCCTTACACAGAAGACCAAAATCCTCGCAAACCTGCATATTGTTCAAGGTGGTTCAATGATGTGTATCTGTTGATATGTCATTAAAATCTACTGTGGTACATTTGTTGTACTTTCAGTTGTCATTTATTGTGCTGTAAACTGTACTATAATTGTTGTTGAATATTTGGATTTGCAGATGTATCTACCTACTGTAAATCTTGCCATCAGTGTGGAGCCCACTACCGGTACCAGGAGTGGAAAGATGGTCTACACAACTTTAATGACCGGATACTACTTTCTCTTTCTTTATGTCTAACCATACGGAACATGCTACAGGTAAGTTTTGATATAACTTTATCGAAGTATGATCTATGAATGAATCATTTTTATTGAGTAAATGTACAACTGAATTTTACACCACGTTTTTTGATCTGTATGTTTCTCCCTTAGGTCCATACTGCAGTGAGCAGAGTGGTAGAGTTTTTAGAACTGACTACAGGTGAAAAATTCCCCTCTGCTGATACAGTTCTTAATGGGTATCTTCATTTTGAGGCACTTACAGAACATGATTACCAGTACTCTTGTGTGACCTGTGGTGATCATCCGCCAGTGGTCATCATGGACCTACGTAAGAAGGGAGCTTTCCATTTGTCAAGTAAGAATGCTTTTGTGGAATAGACTGATTTAGATGTTAATTACAGACCAGATTTGACTCTCAGATTTGACTTTTTTTGCAATGTTTTCTCATTTTTTTTAATCAGTAAGTGACCTTACACATCCTCCAGAGGACTTCAATGGAGAGGTTGATATGGAACGTTTTTGGGAGGCACTTTCAATGGAAAGGATTGGTCGAGGATTTGTAACAAGTAATGCAAGAAAACATTAACAAGCAATTAGTAAATGTTACGCCTTTATCAATGACTGCATGATTGTGCAAAGAACATATTTACGTCTCAGTATGTCATTTTATTTCCAATCTGAGATGTATTGACATTTCTTGTGTTCTGATGTTTCCAAAGGTCACCTAAACAATCCATTTGCAGTTCCACCAACTTTCCTCTTTTGGGCTCCGTGGATAGGCAAAAAGACTTAAGCTCAAACCACATCCTTAACACAGAATTTGAAAAAGTCCGTCCACCAAAATCAGCTGAGATCCGTGAAATAACAGTCTCAGAAGACCGACTGAGAGAGGAACTGTACAAGCAGAAGGTAAAAAAAATATTTATTATATTTTTCTTTTTGGAGTGATTTACATGCCATTATTTTCCATGAAAACATGCAGCTCCTCACACGTTTGGTATTTTATTTGATAGGTTCAAGTGGTTAGGACATTATGTAGGGAGTGTGGATTGGATTCCTCTGGATCGTGCACTGACCTTCTCCTGAGATTGCCCAAAGAAAGAAAGACAACAAGGTTTTTCAAAAGATTTGGGCTGCCTCCGGTAAGTTAAATTTCACATAGTGTATGTGGGAGCTGCTGTTATTGGTGAGGTTTTGCCCAGGGTGGAGTAACTTCCAAAAATTTCACATTTGGATTATCTGAAATGTGATTTAATGTTGATTCATCCTATGTGAGAATGAAAATATTTTAGTAGGACAAACAGAAGTTTTTTTTATAATCTCTTTCATTTCTCACTTTTTTCGTCTCAGGTGGTTGGGCTGTGATTATGTGCCCGTGCGCTATTGTTTACACTATAAAATGTAACATTAGAGCGGAAAGCCCACGTGACTTCGCAGACATCCTGTTGTCCTGGAAACATATGCCAAATTGCCAGTTGTTATATATGACTTTGCACGTGGACTGGCTACACACATGAATCTCCGAGAACCAGAAAGGTTGCCCTTCAAACCATTTGAAGGACGGTTAAGGGCCCCAACTCCAGACAACATAGCACAAGCCAAAAATGGTAAACTGAAGGTGTCACTACCTTGGCTTAACTGCAAGAAACTGGTACCAGACTGTGATGGCCATCCCGTAACCGGTTCAGCAGAGCATTATGCTCTGTATGACCGATTCCGTGAGGATAATACAAAAGATGCCCTACGGAAGACTGGCCTGGTCCCACAACTGGCTGGAAAAGTCAACAGTCAAGTAGCTGAACAACTGTTTGCAAGAATGAAAAAAAACAATTACTTCTTAAACATGACATTACCATCAACTCATCTGTTTCTCATGAGAAATATGATCCACCATTACAACATTCACAAAAACAAACAACGAATGGACAACATAAAAAAGGCTTTTGAAGCTGAGGTAGCAATGAACAGCTACAGCCAGGCAGTGTTAGGTAAAATTTAAAATACATGTTTGCTATGCAGTTCTATTATAAGCACATTGTTACTGTATTGTTGTTAAAATATTTATTTATGCTTTTAGGAAATCCACTGTCCTCACAGATGTGCACAAATAGTCCATTGGATACTGATCTACTAAGTGGTGAGTAATGGCTGCAGAGGGTGGGGGGGCTGGGGCGGGGGGACTCACTGTGATCTTGTCATGTTCTTAATTTTAGTTTTCTATATGGCAGGAGGTTAATGGCACATCGGGATCAGAAACCTCTTTCACTGGATGGTTTAGCTTTTTTAAACTGCTCCTCTTTATTGTGTTTCTGTTTTAGTTACAGTGAAAGTAGTGCCCCCGACAGTGGCGCCGGCCCCCCGCGTGCCCCCTACAGTGGCACTGGCCCCCTGCGTGCCCCAGACAGCGCCGCTGGCCCTCTGTGTGTCCCCGACAGCACCGCCGGCCCTCTGTGTGCCCCCGACAGCGCTGCTGGCCCTCTGTGTGCCCCCGACAGCGCCGCCAGCCCTCTGTGTGCCCCCGACAGCGCCGCCAGCCCTCGGTGTGCCCCCTACAGCAGTGCCGGCCCTTGGCTATTTAGAAACAATTAAGCCCTGGGAAAAAGGTTGGAATCCTGTCCAGGAGCAACTGGTAAGTTATTTAGTACAATTATTAATCTTTTGTCATGGCACACACTTATTATCTGATTTAATGACTGTTATTTGCAGCTCAATTACGTGCTGGACACTGGACGACCAGGAGCAGGAATAATTGTGAAAGAAGGGCCCATGTGTCTCACACGAGAAGAATTTTGGAGCTTGGGGTTACTGAGAGACATGGATTCTCACGTGAGTAGTGGGAATTTGGTAAAGAGGAAAAAGGGAAAAGCAATGTTGTATTTGCTTTCATGTTTGTTTACTAATGAGTTTTGATTGATTTGTTTCCTGCAGATTGGGAATGCCTGCATGAAACTGATCAGTGAAGCAGCTCAGCGGCTTGTATGTAATGTATATAAAATTCTAAAGCCTAAATTGAACTGAATGTAGCTGTTACTCTTTTCTGTTATACTTTTGTCTTCTTTCAAAGTTCTTTTTTTCTGTAGGGCAAAGACATTTATATAGAAGACATACATGTTGTCCCTACATGGAAACATGGACATAGTAACACAGTTTCCAATTTTCCAGTGAGTGTTTTTAAAATAACCAAATTTGTATGTGGTCAAAATCTAGATCTGTATAATGACACATTGTTTATTCATTAATTACAGGAGGATATTGACGTCTTTGTCTTTCCAGCATGGACCAGTGCAAACGGGCCAGAGCACTTTGTTCTATGCGTAAGGGAATGTTACTCCTAACGAAAAATAGATGAATGTAATTCATCTGTGTTCTAACAGAGTGAACTCCATTTCTACTCCCTGTGCTAATGAGTATGGAATTCTTGTGCATCTCTTCACCCATTACCACATTATAGATCATGAAGCCACGACTGAGAGAGCTGATGTGTTTAGACTCCCTGTACACAATGCAGGAGTCTGGGTTTGGTGATGGTGAGTATAGAGCCATATTTAGGTCCACAGATGTTTGACATTTTTACATACCAAATTACATTTTGGCTACGTTCCTACAACCTTTACTGGTATGTTTTGGCTACGTTCCTATAGCCTTTACTGGTATGTTTTGGCTACGTTCCTATAGCCTTTACTGGTATGTTTTGGCTACATTCCTATAGCCTTTACTGGTATGTTTTGGCTACGTTCCTATAACCTTTACTGGTATGTTTTGGCTACATTCCTATAGCCTTTACTGGTATGTTTTGGCTACATTCCTATAGCCTTTACTGGTATGTTTTGGCTACGTTCCTATAACCTTTACTGGTATGTTTTGGCTACATTCCTATAGCCTTTACTGGTATGTTTTGGCTACGTTCCTACAACCTTTACTGGTATGTTTTGGCTACATTCCTATAGCCTTTTTTGGTATGTTTTGGCTACGTTCCTATAGCCTTTACTGGTATGTTTTGGCTACATTCCTATAGCCTTTTTTGGTGTGTTTTGGCTACGTTCCTATAGCCTTTACTGGTATGTTTTGGCTACGTTCCTATAGCCTTTACTGGTATGTTTTGGACATGTTACTATTGTCTTGTCTCTGTGGTTGTTATATCTGTTTCAAATTATTTTTATTATCTCTGATTTCATCTTTTCTCTGATTTTAGGAGAATTTTCATCTCTTTTAAACATCTGTTGATGTCACTGCTCCAAGCCAGTCCCACAAAGAAGAACTTCTAATGTGAAAACTAGGCTAAATTTTGACAGATATCTGGCAGCCACTGCAGACTTATGTACAATAGTACAAAAGAACAGTTTCATTATTAATCCTAAATAATTAAAAAAAAACATTCTACAGAGATATTGCTCAGCAAATCGATCCTGGGAGCTGGACAGAGAAGACTGGACATGATGTTGTGGTGAATAATTAATGCATAATTACCTAAGGAAATATTATTGTTCCTGGTACTCCACTTCACATTGGAATTAATCATATAATGGACAAAAACAGCAGCTTTTATCTGTGGGTCATGTTTGTTTGTTTGTTTGTTTGTTTACTTATTTGCTTACATTTTAGGGCTTACCACGCCAAATCTGTGGAAATGACTGTGGCATTTTTGTGCTTATGGTAAGGTCTCAGTTGTTTTGGTAAGTCTGTACAGGCCTCTCTCAGCATGGTAAATAAAATGCTTTGTTTTTCATCTTCTCTGTTCCAGTATACCCTTTCCATTATATCAGGCATGGAGTTTGAATTCCAGGAGGTTAGTTTATTTTAAAAACAACCAAAGAGGAAAATGATTACTTAAAATGTTGTTTATTTTGCAACAAACTATTCAACTTGAAGAGAACGAATACATTGTGCACTACAGATTCTCCTTGTAATTCTCCTTCTTTCAGATGGACATGCCTTTGATTCGAAAGTGGTGGTGTCTTCTACTCATGGAACGCTTCAAAATAGAAGGGTACGATGGCTCTAAACAATGTGTATATGTTTGTTTTGTTATCATTTTGTTTTAAGGGTCACTTGTACATGATCTCAAACTTTAAAAAACATAAGTAGAACATCTGTTGACCATAAGTAATAAAAGAGAAAACTCTTGATGGCAGACCCACCAGTGCTTCAGCTTTTTCCTATGCAATATTTTAAGATGTTGTTGTTGTTGTTTGAAAGCCATGGCCAAAGGTTTGCTTTCTGGACGGATGAGGCCAGAAAATTGCTCCAGGGAACCCTTCAGCCAGTATACCGAGTTGCAAGACAGCACCAGTCCACATGCAGGCTGTCATTGACCGCACTGCAGATGAAAAGAGACTGGTGGACTTCACTGTGCAATCAGAGGGAGCTGAGCAGCGTTTGTCGGTACCTGATGTTAAGATTTTCTCATCTCATTATAGACAGATTCACCTGGACCTTTGCTAGAAATATTAACAAAAACCTATCATTTAATTATGTGGCTCATTTATTGTACCTTTAATTTAGAATCTATGTATTTAATGTAACTGACATTTACTATCAGTTGTTCAGTAACTAACAACTACCACACAATCAACTGAAACAATCAATTGCCACGAAATAATAGTTTGTATAACTTGATTTGCCTACAGGGTGTGCTCAACGGGAAGCCTTCAGAGTGGATTCCTCTTAAGCCCTCTTCCCAGGTGCCTGTCTACCTCGACTGTGAGGAACAACAGGACACCCTTTTTTCCTATCTGAAGTCATTACTGCATAGAACACCAACACAACTAAGCTTCACGGATGAAGTGCAGTTCATCTTTGGTGTTCTGTTTCCAGAGGTAAGCTCAACCATGTAATGTATTTGTGATTGTTTCTGCTCCTGCACTTTCAAAATCTAGCCTATATAAACAGTATATCTACCATGGTGCTACGTGTTTACAGACCTATGTATAATGACTTGCTGTTCTGTATTCTGCATTGGTACAACAGTATATTTAAAAATGATAATTTTTCCTTTGGTAGGCCATCATATATGGCCTAGCTGTGTTGAAAAATCTATCCTGGCAGCAGGCCAAGCAGGTCTTCCTCTGTGGTCCAGTTCATCACCACAGGTAAGAGTAAAGAATGTAATTGTTTTTACATAATGCCATAAAATATTGGTCACTGCCTGGTGGTGGTGGTAACATCAATTAATGTACCATTTTACCATTGTTACAGATATTTCTGTTAAGCGAGCAGTAATTATGTTGTCTTTTTACTATTTCAGTGAAGTGGAGGAATTCAACAGACTGACAGACAAACAACAGAAGAAAGAAGGGAGACCATTCAATTGGTAGGTAGTGATGTAACCTAATTCACAAAGTGGGGTTTGAAGAGCGCTGTGATTGGTCGAGCTCCGCTTTAGCCCCGCCCACCTCCACCATTCTGCAGCGGCAATGCTGCACGAGAGGAGCGTCTCACCGAAACCGAAAGCAGGGAGTTTCCTCACCAAGCAGCGGCGCCATTTTGTGGAGGAGAGAGGAGCGGAGCTGCGCTGAGTTCCTGATCTGAGTCTCTAACGGACAATAAAACTGAGGAAAGAGTCAGAACTACAGGAGGCACTGAGTCAGAAGGAGAGCCGGAGGACTCCTGCTGAGGCAGAGCTCTGTGTGTGGACAGTGTCCAATAAACCTGCGTCATAATTTAAAACTACACACTGCGCTCCAGAGTCCTGAGCAGAACAGGGCTGAATCTCTAACAGCTCCCTGACTCCTTCAGCCAATCAGTGAATAATATGTCTAATATATTTAATAGTATGGTTAACAAATGACCGTTTGGGATTTAGTATAACACACAGTTTCAGCTATGAAAAAACTCAAACTCCTAGATCCCCCCATCATCACGTGACACAGACGAAGCTAAACTGGATCAGACCAGTTTGTGTTTGTATGTGTAGTGAAAATGATAATGGTAATGATAATTGATTAGTGGATCAATACATTATACGTATGATAAAGGCTCTCGTTTGGAGGGTTGTGCCCGTCCAGCCATGACTGCTGTTTTGAAAACTTCTTTGAAATGACTCTAAATCTATTCATTTTTATTTTTTATCCCATTTGTCGTGATTTCCAAAGGGTTTTGTCGTCCTGTTCAAAACTGCAAAGCATTTCAAATTTTTTCAACAAACTTTGTCTGATGTCCATTTTATGAAATATCATGTGGTGTGACCATCAAGAAACGACCACTTTGGGACGTTTATGTTAAAACCATCTCAAAAGCAGGAGATTGCGTCATATAGCAGTTTGCCAAGGACCCATGGAAGCAGCAAGCAGACTTGTACGTCTCTCTGAAATTTGGGAAAAAATAACCTTTTTAACGGCCGGCATGTCGCTGCCACTTTTGTACATCATGTGGTATGACCTCAAAAAAGAATGGATATTAAATTATTTCTACAAATATATATTTTCATTATAGATTTCATAGTTACCTTTTGTGGAAAGCTAGCTTATTTTCTCTCTGTGGCCAATTCTGTGCTGGTAAACTTTTACTGAACTTGAAAATATCATGTGGTGCGACCAAATATCATGTGGTGCGACCACTGCAGAGTGTTTTCTATAATAGATATAATTTTAGTGTTTTTGGAATCTATTTTTAATGCAATTTGAGTATTTTTTTCTGATATTTTGGAAACAGTTTATGTTTAATATTTGTACAACATAATGAGAAAAGTGCAGAAAATAAAGCACATGTAATTTCACTTAACTTTTATTTATATATCTATTACTGTTTTAATATACTTTACCAGATACCATTGTAAATATCTTTCACCATAGGCAGTGTGTTAATTCTGACTCTGTAGGAAGTAGAGTATCTTGCTAGGAAAAAAAATGAATTTCATTTTTTTTTTTAATTTTTAAAAATAAAAATTGCTCTTGTGTATTTTTTCATTACCTGGAGGAAATGCATTTTTTGTTAACATTGCATCTGCTATCATCTATCATTAGTCCAAAATGAAAATAAACTATACAACGCAGATTTATGGCATGGTGCTGTGTTACATTACTGTTTTAGCTACACTGTAAAAAGTTTCTTCAGTTCTACCTAAAACATTAATTTGTGGTAACAATAGAATACAATAGAGCTGTACTCAGAACAATAGAGCTGTACTCAACTGTACAATTTACTTTGATTAAAAAAACATTCATTCAAAGTAATTGTTTAGTTAGTAAAAATGTGTTAATTTACTTGTTACCACATGAAGTATTTTTACTGTGAATCTTTTTTACTGTGTACCAGAGAAAAAAATGTAAGGAAAGTTTCCATAGGTAAACATAATATAATATAATATAATACTTATTTTTTGTATTTTAAAATTGGCCTATTGAAAATCCTTATACGTCATTGACCCATATATACAGTAAAGTACATGCAGCAGCTTACAGTACACATAAATATAAAGCTGGTAAACGTCTTTATTTGAGGATGGTATAATTATAGGTGTTGAACTTTGGTACAGTTGGCGCTGGGTGTGATGCTCAGATCTTTCTCCCATTGTGCATCTGGAAGTTGTGACGTTAAGACAGTGTAGTTTAATTGTTTAGAAAAGTTTGTGAGGGGATTTTAAAATGGTACCTTTAAACATTTCTTCTGCTGTGTGAGGCGGTTCTGAATCATGTTACTAAATTATGATATATATTAAGTTATTAACATTAAACTATTTTAAATGTACAGTGTGGATGATGGCAGATGGCAGATTTTAGTTGTAGGTACTGAAGAAAAGTTTCCACAGTCCCAGTTCTGTAGGTCTGGACTGATTCCTCTAGACGTGGTTTGTTTAATGTCTAATGTTTAATGAGATGCTTTTATTTTTCCTTTTAGGGATTTTTTATTGTGCAGACAGGCTGGTTTGTTCCACAGTGGAGTGTGTTTCCATATCAGCGCTGTTGAGTTGGTGATTTTGAGAACTTTCCATAAATCTGTTGTGGCTGTGGCTGCTGTTTGGGTTTTTAAGTAGTCCACCGGGCCCTGATGGCAGCTGCCAGAGCTGGCAGGAAGGCAGGGCCTGAGCTCCGAGCAGGGACGAAGCCCGGCGGGGGAGAGGAACACGGTGAGTGAGAGGGGGCGGCGCCCAGGAGGCGGGGCTCGGGGCTTGCAGCTCGTCCGTCTGGATTGAATGTGAGGCTAATTAACATGGCCTCACTGCCGGGACTGGAGGCGGTGCCCAGGAGGCGGGGCTCAGGACTCACGCGCCATCCACCTCTCACTCGCCGTGTTCCTATGCTGGATCAGAAATGTGTATTTCTTGACCCTGTGATTGGTCAGTTTCACTCCAGGAGTTACGCTGATCGCTGGGCTGTATCCATTTTTAAATAACTGTGTGTCACAAAAACAACTGTAAAAATTGGGGATCTAAACCACCTCGCAGTGTTATTCTTCATAGTGTGGACAGCTGGATTCTGTTTTTCATAGACATTAGTCATAACCATATAGAGATAATTGAACTGGGTAGATTGGAATAATTGGATTGGGATATTTAGGTTAATAAATTAGGTTTTTGTAATTCAGATATTTATTGCTTTTTACTGTTCAGGCTTAGAAAAATGTGAAATTAAAGGTAGTTTATTTTTGTAGTTTAGTTCTTTTGATGATTTCTGATCTGTTCATAAGAGGGTCATATTCACCCATGATTTAGATCATCCTGTACTGATTTGAGGAGAGGATTGTGGTTTAATTATACAACCCCATTTCCAAAAAAGTTGGGACGTTGTGCAGAATGTAAATAAAAATAGGATGCAATGATGTGCAAATCATGTGAACCATATTTTTAAAGGAAAATACTACAAAGACAACAAATCAAATGTTGAAACTGAGAAATTTTATTGCTTTTTGAAAAATATGAGCCCTTTTTGAATTTGATGCCAACAACACGTTCCAAAAAAGTTTCATCAGCTCTTCTTTTAACATTAACATTCTTTTAATTTACATGCGAGGTTTGATTATTTAACAGTATTTTACAGTTATTATGAAATACAGTAAGAAACTGTGGTAAATCCACAGTAAATTTACAGCAGTTCAGCTGTTTGTTTATTTATCCCGTTTATCATGTTTGGTGAGATTTAGCTGAAAAAGGTGCCTCCATGAGCCGATTCACATCTGATAACATTTTCAGTCCAAACCCCGGATACTGTTACATGGATTATGCAGCAATCTGTGTTCAAACAACCACACAGGCCTACAGTCACCTACACAGCACAGACTGGTGTAAGAATCTCTCAGTGGGCAGCGTTTAGTTTATTTGATCTGGTTTGAAGTTTTTCTCCTGATGTGTGAAATTATTAAGCTGAATAAATAAATCTAACAGTTACAGCAGATTTCCTACAGACATCAGGAGGAGAGAGCAGAGGGAGAGAACAGGGAGAAGAGTGAGAGGATCTGGTACTGAGGGAGAGAATGAGCAGCTGAACAGAGTCTGAGAGCTGTAGAAGTAGATTTTCACTGAATCAGTTTATTGATAATCAGAATGTCTACTGTGTGTCTGGGATTCATCATAAGGTGTTTATAGACATTTCCAATCCAAAGTCCAGCTGAACTCATTCTGAGTAGCTATAGAGAGGATAAGCAGTGTGGTGTGAAGCGTTAGGTTAGTGTGAATAGCATTAGCTTAGCCTTTAGCGTGGTGAGATTTATGGGCTTGGCTGTCACTCATAATGGAGTCGTGTCATCTTGGTGTCACGTGTGCCACTGGACTCAGCTTAGCACAGTTTTGGGCGACGGTGTTTTAACTGTTCTTAGACACACAGACACACACACAGACACACGCACACACACAGACACACGCACACACACAGACACACACACAGACACACGCACACACACAGACACACGCACACACACAGACACACACACAGACACAGACACACACACACACACACACATACATACACACACACACACAGACACACAGACACACACACACACACACACACACAGACACACACACACACACACAGACACACAGACACACACACACACACACACAGACACACACAGAAACACACACAGATTTTCTAAACCGCTTATCCTTCTGGGTCGTGAGGGATGCTGGAGCCTATCCCAGCAGTCACTGGGTGGTAGGCAGGACTGGACAGGTCGCCGGTCCATGCTGGATCTACATTTCTAATTTAACTCTGTGCAGTGTATCTAATAAAATGTGGTAACGTGTTACAGGTGTTGTGTAGGTTTAATCTAAGACAAACAACATCCGTCCAAATCCTAATATCTCATCACACTGATGAAGGAACTGCAACCAAATGTATCCACGTCCTGTTCCTCCCTGAGTTTCTGTTCAGATCTAAGTTTGGCTGAAGTTGATTATTTGCCTTTGAGATAAAAGACCAGCACTAAACCGTTTACTGCCTTGTGCTGTGTGAGCACTCGCATCATAGCCTGTCAATCAGAGGGTCTTTATCACAGAACGCAGCCCTCTCTCTCTCTCCTCTCTCTCTCTCTCTCTCTC